TTTAGTTCAGGGTGTTGATGATGTTGGGACTATATATAAATATATTCACTATTTAAACATGCAGAGAGTCACTTTATTCACCACATATCAGTCCTATCACTTTATATAAGAAAATGAAAGACACGGAACTCAACTAAAACTGTAAGGATATGATCCCCGAGATTCACAGCAGCTGATGAACATGTGTTTGGCATAACTATAAATTAAAAATATATAGTCTCACCTTAGTTTCTGGGCAGCGGATGCAGACGGTTTAAATGTAGATTTGGGTGTAGCCTTTGCAGCAAGAACTAGTGAGAAAAAACATCCAAAACTATCATTAATAATGTAAGAATGCATGCAAGCACAAAGTGCTCCTCAGCCCAAACGTACACTTATCAAAGTCCTCGTCATCTGAAGTCAACAGCACGTGTTTTTCTTGAGACTGATTCTCTTTCCCCGAGCCAGTGTCCGTGTCGGACAGCAGCAGTCTGTGCGCTGGATCTGTGCTTGAGGACTCATAACTGCCCAGCGCTGGACGTCTGCTCTTCTTCACGCTCTTACGCAACTGAAACAGCAGCAAGAGACAGGCTCTGGTGAGACATCTCGAGAGGAGTTTTATGTAAATCATGTATATGTTCAACATAACCATTAGACCTTCTCTTCAGCTTTATCCAGACCACCATCTCGGTCCCAGCCCAGCTTCTCGGAGACCCTCTGAAACAGCGATACAGTGCCGGGATCCATCGCCACATGAAGAGTGGAAAACGACTGATCAGCCCCTGAGCACTTGTCTCTCCTGTTGGCACAGAAACAAAGCCTAAAAAAAAATGTAATGCATTTACAAATGAAAACAATACCGAACTGTTGCAACTGAAGTCTGAGTCTATGTTATACATGGGACTTTTCATCTGTTTACATCAGAACGGATTAAAATTCATAAAATATTAAATGAATACAATAAATTTAAAACTACAGTACTATAAAGCAACACACTATGATATCTCTAAGGAAAGGCAACAATTAATCAAGCTAGTTATAAAAACAAAAAACTGTTTAGCACAAAATATACTATGCTTTAACTACACGACTGTAAGTAACACAAAGCTGCCAAAGCTGAAATATATTCAAAAATAGATAATACATAATTAATATAGGACTAAGCTAAACATATAACATTTGTGAACGTTTAATATCTAAGTTACATACTTCAATCGACCATATGATAAACGCACACACTTGCTAACAAACGGAAATGTAGCTTTAGCCCAAATGCTTTGTTTGTTCAACATACCTGGTAAAGCTGAATTTGATATACAGCGCCTTCAATCAAATAAGCAGAACTTTAAATCACCAGCTCGCTGCGCGACTGCGTAACAGCGTTCAAACTTCCCCAACCGGAACTTGTCATCTGAGAGAAAAAAACAACTTCCGGTGTTACAATAAATTCGGTTCCTGAAGGATTTGGTTCCACTGGGTGGCGCATATATGAAATAAAGCCAATCTGGTTGGTTGGCAATAAGTAAAGCTGGTAATGCTGTTTGTGGAGATGTTTAATCCAGCAGGGACTGGCGCTCTCTCTGGCAGCGGCAGGTCGCAGCGCCACTTCCGGTGGCATCCCCAGCTGCCAGGGTCTTTCTCGCCGTTCCTGCTGTTTGCTCGGTAAAACTACACTGTTCTCGGTGGCGTGCGGTGGTGGTGTTTTTAAAATGATGATGCAAAGTTCCCACAATTGTATTATTATTATTGTACATTTTTATGTATCAGCTGCCAGAGTTCTTGCCAGGAGTCACGATCGTTTGTCGCCGTTTCTGCTGTAAACTACACTGTTTTGTTTGTAAATAAAAGATTTGATGATGCATATTATATACCAGCAAGCAGATACGATCAGAATGTGAACCCAATAAGCTAAATTGCACAAGCATTTTCCCATAAAGAACATACACACACATAAGGAGTGCCAGATGTCATGTCACTTAATGTTAAAACTGCTGCAATACTGTATATACGCACAAACACAAACATGTCACGGAATGCCAGGAGAAAACAGGATAGATCCAAGTGCAGTTTATTGAAGTATAAAATAAACAGAACAGAACAGAAACGTGGCAAAAGGTAATCCAAAACACAGGGAACAGATAACACGATGTAACCTTAACAACATCAAACACAAACATCAGATATCAAATAATACTGCCGCAAAGACACAGAGTGAGCATGGTATATGTAGTGATGGGATGATGAGTAAATGACTAACAGGTGATCATGATCAGAACAGACACGACAGGCAAGGGACCTGGGGATGCCACCGGAAGTGGCGCTGCAACCTGCCGCTGCCAGGATTTGCGCTTGCTCTCTCTCGTTTAATCATCCTCTGCTGAGATCTCGAGAGATTGAATGTCTTCTTTTATTTCAGTTGATATCTAAGGCTGTGGCTGGAAGAACAGCTGCACAAGCAGAATCACTGAAGGAAAGAGAAGCAAGAGCTGAAAAACAGACGAGATGATGAGACTGTAGTTGTTGTGTTTCTGCTCATCTCAGTGATTCTGCTTGTTAACAGCAGCTGTTCATCATGCTCTCGGTCAGGTGGACTATTTTAGTAAACTAATGTAGCCAACAGTAAATGAGGGTGTGATTTGGGACACTGATAATTCACAGTATATTGCAGTAAACTACTTTCTCGAAAACAACCCAGATGCATTAGTTTCTCTGGTTTAATGGAAGACGGTATGTTACTGTTAAAATGTTTACATCAGAGTTGTACAGTGTGTAGAAAGTGCTATGTAAATAAAGATGAGTTGAGTTGACTTGAAGAGGAATTCAAAGAAGAAGAAAAGGAAAATGAAGAAAAAGACGAAGTCAAGAGAAATCAAAGAAGCTGAAGGAGAAGAAAAAAGAAGAAAAAGTCAAGACGAAGAAGTTGATGACATTGAAGTCAAAATAGTTGAAGAAAAAAGAAATATAACCTTGAAGTTGAAGATGATGAAGCTGAAAGTGTCAAAAAGCTGAAGAAGAAATCAAAGTTGGAAGACAGCAAAGAAGTCAAAAAAGCAGAAGTCAAAGATAAAGTAAAAAAAGTCATCGAAGAAGTCGAAGAAATAAAATAAAATCAAGAAGAATTCAAAGAAGTTGAAGTCTAAGATGTCGAAGTTGAAGAAGTTAATCAAAAAAGAACAAGTAAAAAAAAAGTCGAAGTTGATGACACTAAAAAATAAGTTGAAGAAGTCAAAGAAAAATAACTCAAAGAATTTGAAGTCAAAAACAAGGAGCCAAGGAAGTCAAAGAATTTGAAGTCGTCGTCGATGGGAGTTGAAGACGACAAAGAAGTTGAAAAAGACGACGGCATTGAAGAAGTTGAAGACAGAAGTTGTTGAAGAATATGTTGAAAAAGTCGAACAACAAAGAAGTTAAAGAAGAATGCAAAGTCTAAGAAATCAAAGAATAAAGCCTGAGGCAGCTGTGTTTGGGCCTCTAGCTGTCTCTGGGATGTTCATCCCTCTGTTCTGTCAGAGATTTAAGTTAGGGACATCCATGCTTTAATATTTACATTTACATTCACATTGTTTGTTAATATCTGACAAACGAGGTGAAAGAACCTAAAGCATGGTTGTTGTTTTGCTTAAAAGGTACATATTTTTAGATCATCTAACTTGATGCAAGCAAGTCATCAACTCTGATGCAGTTTCAATGCAATGAAGTGATCTAAACCATGACTGGAATTCCTCGCTGATTGATACTGATGAAACATTTGCACTCTATTCCTTTTCTAATTGTTTTTTTTTTTTCTTGAAAAAAAGGGCCGCTAACATTAGCTTTCTCTATTCTATACTTTTTATTTTTATTGTATGTGTATATATATATATATACATATACAGTGGGTACGGAAAGTATTCAGACCCCCTTCAATTTTTCACTCTTTGTTATATTGCAGCCATTTGCTAAAATCATTTAAGTTATTTTTTTTTCCTCAATGTACACACAGCACCCCATATTGACAGAAAAACACAGAATTGTTGACATTTTTGCAGATTTATTAAAAAAGAAAAACTGAAATATCACATGGTCCTAAGTATTCAGACCCTTTGCTGTGACACTCATATATTTAACTCAGGTGCTGTCCATTTCTTCTGATTAACTTAAATGATTTTAGCAAATGGCTGCAATATAACAAAGAGTGAAAAATTTAAGGGGGTCTGAATACTTTCCGTACCCACTGTATATAACCCTGCTACGTGTACTGCATTAAGCTAACTGAGACTTGTCATAGCACTTGCATACCATTGCTCTTTTGTTGCAAAAATGTAGAAAATAGAATAAATAAAGGTAAAGTCTGGAAATAAAATATTACACCCAGTCTACACTGAAATGAATGTGATGTGAAAAGAGCCCATTATGATCACTGATACTTTGCACGCTGGAAGACACGTGCATCATTTTCAATAATAGCACAAATGGATTATTTAGCATTTCTTTATTGAACTGAATACAGCGATTAAATTTACAGTGGGTGCACATCACAGTTTAGTCAGCAACAAGACACCCTGCACAACAGCAGTATAGATCACAATAACCAGTATGTGTTAGCTCCTAAAAGGAATGGAAGAATAAATGAAAATGAAAAACAAAAACAAAACCGCAGCCAAGTATGTGCAACTCTCTTCAAGGTTTGCCACATCTCTTTATTTCAGTTTATGTAAAGAGCCTTGCAGAATTGACACTGCCAGTGCATAAATAAAACGAGTTAATAGGAAGACAGTGTACAAAACCAAAACAGCTTAGAACATACTTACCTAGAACTTTCCTGCTAAAACCATAAAAAAGAAAGAAAAATCAGGAGTCGGTACTTGAGCAGTTTGCAGGCCTTCTGTCAGTGTGTAATAAGACACTCCTCTGTTTAGCGTGTTCACATTGCATGTTTTGAAAAAGAGGACATTTTCTCTATCGGTGATCCGGGGAATGCATCCGCCACTCAGATTGAAGTCATGATGACAGAAAGCTAAAATAGGTCAAGCAGCACATAACCCAACTAAAAAAAGCCCCTATCTGTGATGATTACGTTTATATATTTTCTGAATTATTGTAAGACTGCCCCTTCTCATTTCAGACCCCACTTTTTTTTCATAAAGTCCACTTCAGTTACAGAAAAGTCCTTTAGAAGCAGAGAAACAAACAAAACGAAAGTGGAGCCAACCAACATCAATTTAGTCAGACGATGGGAAAGGGGGAGGAGTCTCAGTGGAGCAGCTTTGTGCATCCTGCTGTCCACTCTGGCTCATGGAAACAAAAGCTGGCTGGGATCGTAGTCACAGTGCTCACCTGTAGGCTCCAGAGTCTCTGTGACCATCACATACTGGGGGGGGCGGGGGACATGCAGGGACAAGCTTAGCTTAGGTGCTCTCGCTGCTCTCCAGAGACTGCATTTTGACCAGGTGGTCAGGTTTGCCTCCAGCGGCGTAATGCTCCCACATCTGCAGGTAGAGTCTCTCCAGGTCCATGGTGTAGAGTTTGGTGTTGAAGAGCGGGCTGCAGATGCGCTGCTTCCACACGCGGGAGCGGACCTTCTTCAGGCTGAGCGGAACGAAGGGAGAACGTGTTTCAAGCATCTTAAACGTGTCTTGTTTTGAAAGTGGAAATTGACTAAAGGAACTTACAATTCCATATCAGTGCCAAGCTTCACAGCAACGTCTTCATACTCCTGACGGCTTTGGGCGATGAGCTCAGGGCAGCCAAGACAGGTGAGCTGAGAGGCAGCGACACGTGAAGCCAGTGTCTCTCCTGCAGAAAACATCAAGACGTCAGGGCAAGCTAAATTATGATCATGGATGAAAAATTGTTTCATTTCAATTTCAATTGAAGCTATTCCTTGCAAATAAATTGTATTCTATTATGGGGCCGTTGAATGCTTGAATCTGATTGGCTGGCAAACGTTCTAAGCAGTGTCAATTTTCACCAACAACATTTTTTCACCGACGAAAACGAGATGACAACTAAATAAAAACCAGTTTTTAATGACAAAAACTAAAACAAAAATATACTCTCATTTTCGTCAATGAATAAAAGCGAGACGAAAATGTTAGGGAAGGACGATTTGGGAAGATATCCAGTCAGGACTGATGTCTTATGTGGTAGTTACAGTAAGTACATTTGCATTGTATTTGTACCGTCGTGATCTAACCGCGGGAAAACGCGGCGCTGTTGCGTGCTCTACAGACTCGCGCAGCAGTGCTTCTGACTGCTTCAGTGAGGGTTGTAATCAATGAATAGCGCACATTTATGCCAACGATTGCTTATGAACTAATGTTGATGAATTATGACAATGTTTACTATACGATATTTATATGGTAATATGTTTTAGACGGTTGTAAAAATGCATATTTTATTTCCCTCATCTGAACTTGAATGAGCAGCCTGCAACTGTACAATCCACAGTGCATACATTTCAAAATAAGAGTCACACTGTATTTCAAGCTTTTTTCCTGGTCATTGTTGATATTTTGGGTACATAAACTGTATTTAATTTAATTTTCCATTTAATTAACAACTTTTGTTGCTTCTGTCTGGGATTCCCCATCACAGGATGGACAGACTAAGAACATTATTCAAAATATTATTGAATAAATACATTTTACTAGCATCAGGTTTTTATAGTTAAAACTAAAACCATAAAATATTCTTCATTAATTAAAATAAAATAAATATTAACTGAAATTATAAAGCAAATCTATAAAAAAGGTAATAAATATTTAAAATACATATAAACTAAATGAAATAAAATACGTTTTTTTAAATATAAGCTTTAGCTTAATTTGATGTACTAAAATAACCAAAACAGAAAAAAAAAAAAAAAAAAGCATTACAATTTAACTAAACCCTTTATGTATATTTAGTCGACTAAAACTAGACTAAAACAAAAACTATCCAGATGACTAAAATATGACAAACTAAATCAAAGTTTGCCGTCAAAATTAACACTGGTTCTAAGGGGTGCAATTATTTTCAGGGAAACGCACGGCGAACATAGTTCCAGGCGCTCTTGACCGCATTACATGTCCATATCACTTCGCCAAACGATTGGAGTTATTTCAAAGGTCCTTACAGCCTAAAACAGCAAAAGAACCAAAACACTGGCCAAGCAAATAAATATAGTAAACAATAGGATAACAATTTTCATGTTATGCCACAAAATTACGTTTTAATATGTACGAAAAGCACATACTCTCTCCCGCTCTCTCCCTTACAGACGCACATACAGTTTGCACATAGTGTTGTCAAAAGACCCGGTATTTCGGTACCAAGTCGGTACTAAAAAAATTAAAACGTTACGGTACCAGGTTTTCTTAAGTACCGGTGGTACCGAGTACCCGGTCAACCCGGTTCTTGATTCGCTATCCGAAAGCTATCCTCTTCCAGTGTTGCCAAGTCCACAGTTTTCCCGCGGAATTGGGCTGCTTAACACTGTTGCCGCGGGTTGTTTTTCATGTCCGCAGGTTGAAAAATGACGCCATTAACGTGATATTTAGCCCCTGGAATGCGAATTTTACCAGGGGAACCCCGCCAAAACATGCGTATCTTATCCCCGGAACGCGATTTTTAATGGGGGACCCCCTCGAAACGCGATTGGGCGGGTTTTGTTGTGAAAACCTGGCAACCTCTTCTTAAAAGCAGTGGCGACCTCAAGAGGATGAAACACATCAAACTAACAAAACACCCCGATCAAGTTGAAGCACGTAAGTTTCAATTACATTTTTAATATTTAGAGCTTCTGTAATTAATATTATTCCATATTTTAATTTGAATTTCGGATTGAAATAAACATCGCCGTTAGCGTATACGTAGTTAATCGTTAGCATAAGCGCGGCTAACGCTAATATAATGAGCATTAGAATGAATTTTGTTCAAAATGATTTCTTTAACTATTTAATGCTCCTATAACTTGTATTACTGTAAAACGTGGATTTTCACTGGTATTGGTACCGAATACTGAAATTTTGGTACCGTGACAACACTATTTGCACACACATGCTAATGTTGTTAGCGCTACTCTTAACATAGTTTAACAACTTAAAATCTACATGACTTCTCACAAGCGAGGTAACAACGACACTGTTCGTGAAGAAAATGAATTTCAAGTTTCACTAAAACTAGAGACATTGCTGCTGAACACTTTTGAGAGACGCACAGATTCAGAGGTAATCTCTCTCTCACTCTTTCTCTCTAACTTAGTTATTAGTCTGCTATCAACAGCTCAAGCCTCTGTTACTAGGTTTAAAATTAAGTTTTGGAATTAGCAACGCAGGCATTGGATGAGATGCGGAAGAAATGAATCCTACTTACTAGGGGTGCTCTGATCAGGATTTTTGAGGCCGATCGCCGATCACAGAAAGCAGTATCTGCCGTAGTGATG